TTTTGTAGTCTAATAGTAATATAATTTGTATTTGAGCATCGACAAGACTGTCAAAGAATAAAAAAAAAAAAAAAAAAAAAGGACTAATATAAAATGCACCTATGGTGTTCAACACCAATATGTGGTGTAACATGAAGATCAATTTAAAAAATAAACAAAAAAAAAAATAAACAAAATTAAATTTAATATATATTAAGTTAGAGTTAATAGTTAGGGTTAGAATAAGGCATAGTATATATTAAAATTTCACAAGGAATTTTTATTTTTTAAAAAAAAGATAGTTTCATAGATAAAATTTTGAGTTAGAAGGTATTTTTTTACAAAAAATTTATGTTACACCTGATCTTTATATTACACTGCATTTAAAAAATTTGATTGGTGAAGATCATTATGGTGTTGAACACCAATGATGCATTTTAGTAATGTCGATATAAAAATATATATTTATATAAATATTTAATAAAAAAAAAACTTATTCAAGAAAAAAAATTAAATATTTATATAAATATATATAAATATACATTTCATTTATAGTCTACTATTGTTATACAGTAGTCACATAGGTCAATCATAATTTATCATATATAATTATTGTAATTATTGTAATTATGCAAAAAAAAATTATTATAACATAATTACTACGCATGCTGGTGAGACTTTTGGAGGAGTTGACTGCATCATAACGTAATCCAATTCGGGTTATATTCGGTGAACATTTCTCATAAGCTACTCGAGGGTTTGCCTCGTCAAACATTTGTTTGATTCGCAACATATACTCTTCACTACGGAAAGGTCTAAAATTTTACAAAATTAATACATTCATACTAATTGAAAAAATATTTCATGCTTATTAAATATTTATCCTTACTTGTCATAAACAACCCTCGCGATTTTTTCTCGGATAATAGTTTTTGCACATCCTAAAATTAATTAAAAATGATTTAAATTGGTAAACATCGCCAGTGAGATGTACCATACTCCACCGATCAGAGAATAGCGATGCATCAGTGTTGTTAAACGGCTTGTTCATTGGTAATTGTCGTATCCTTTTATTATATTATTTATTGTTCAATGGGATAAATAGCATAATAAAAAGATGTGACAATTACCAATAAACATGTCCATTTAACAACACTGCGATGCATCGTACCTGATTGTAAAGAAATTTTTATTTTCTTTTATAACCCCCTTAAAGAAAATACGTACCGAGACACGGAAATCTATTTTATAATATTAAATGAATTAACAATATATTACAAAAAAATTAATCTTTACTGTATACTTACGTATTACAATAAAGAGTAGAACCTTTTGCATTCGTTCCAGCTATTGATAATGCGTTACATTCTGCATGTAAACATTTACAATCATCTAATCCTAAATTTTTGGATCTATCGTTGCATCTCTCACAATGTCCTTCATTGCAATTACCGGAGCCACTTGCCGTACCATTATATCCCCCTGCTATAATTTTATACTCGTCCTGAACTATAACGCATCCAACTTTGCGTTTCATACAATTAGCTCTCATCGCTATTACTTCTGCTAAAAGCATATAATATGGATCTTTCGATGATCGAATAATTTCTGGTATCTTTGAATTGTTTGGAATTATTTTCATGAGTTTATCATAATAATCATTCTTCGAAGGAATTATAGTAAGATCTGCCATAGGAATTAATTCACGATTTTCATTCCATAAAAGATCATGTTCTTGTAAAAATTCACCGAAATCATTGTTGTTACTAAGAATTTTACTGAGATTTTTAATAATAATTAAATCATTTAGTAATATCTATCATATGATACTGTACTTACAAATTTCCAAATCGAATACTCAATTCATCATCCACGGCCAGCAATAAAAATAAAGGATATAACCTATTAAACATAAATACATAACGATAATTTTAACGTTGAGATTTATAATTCGTCGCCGGTGCGATGCATTATCAGGCGTAACGTGAAATTGAAGAATCGCGCTATTATTGAACTTTAACCTAACCCTAACCTAATTCTATTGCAGTTGGTTTTTGATTTGATTTAATTAGAAATTAAGGGTAGCGATGCTTGCACCGGTGATGAGTGATGAATTTCTTTTAAGGATTATATATTTATATAAAAAAAATACCTATATACATTAAAATCCTTTATCGTTTTAATTTTTATCACATAATGATCTTTCCAATTCTCTTTAACTACTTTTATAAAATTTTCTGATTTTGGATCATTTTTATAAATAAACACTTCTTTCTTTAAAAAATCAATGATAGTTTCTTCTCCGGAAGAAAAAGAATGAACTATTCCAATTAATACCATCATGATTCGATGCTTATATAAAGTATTTAAAAATCTTAGGTGGCAGAATTAAACGCAGTTCTGTCTGTTCGAGCAGAAATGTAGACTATAACCGAAATTATAATTCTTATGCTTAAGCAGAATCTACAAAACTTTTAATAAATAATCGGTAGGTGAATAATTCACGCGAAATAAAATACAAACTATTATGATAAAATTTTTTTGATATTTTTGCTTTTAATTTTTGTTCCTCAATTATTATATAAATTTTTGTTAGTAAATATTTTGTTTGTTTTACAATTTTAGATATTACAATAATCCAGAGCGTAGATTAGCAGTGTTGGCATTGGGAAATGATCATTGGAATCGGGCATATGTCGACCAAAAATTCAAATTTATACAAATTCATGCATTTGTACAATAATATGATATCGTATGACATGCTACAGATTCATAATGCTAGCATTTTACTGTACGTACATACGTAAAAAAAATAAAAAAAAATGTTATCCAAAGTATACTATATACTACGTATAAGGGTAGAACGGGTATTATGGCACACTTAAGAATTGCTAATAGTAAAAATTTTTAGAAAAAATTAATTTATTCACTAAATTTATCAAACCAAAATAACCTTCGATTTACTATCTAATGATAAAGAAAAATCTTTGTATTTTAAACAAAAAACTTGGTACTGTACGTACGGTGCAGGAAATCTAAAAATCTCAATATTCTATGTATAGATGATGCATAAACTAGTAGCACATCGAACCTAAATTATCGATCTCAATAAGCAAAGAACAATATGTACGTAATAGCATGCTATTGAGATGACAAATTTAGTTTATCTTTAATGAGTTAACCTTTATTCTATAGATTTCCTCAATTCTTGATCAGGATTGATTAGTTTTGTAACACTAGATTCGTCTCAGTAAGACGAATCGAATGGTACGAAAATCATTCATTCCAGATCACTTTTTTGAGATATTGATAAAAAATGTAGATACGTCACAATACCTCCCATGCCATAATACCCCTCCTGTCCTTATATATAGAAAATAACTATTTTAACCAGTGATGATGTTAGCCACCTCTAATTTTTTATGGTTAGAGTGCAATTTTAATATGAAATACAGTAGAGGTTTATATAATATAATAAAAAGTCCAAATGTTGTTATGCATCAGGTTTTCTAACTTAAATTACTTAATACATTTTTGAGATATAGCATCCTAGTGATTTTAACCAGGAGGGCAAGTTAGCATTATACTATACTATATTGGTATACTGGGTTGGTTAAAAGTCCCTAAACAGGACCTCTCCTAATAATTAAAGTTTTATAAATCTACATTGTATTTGCAATACGTTATAAGTAATTAACGAAAGATCCTATCTGATAACTTATAAGCAATGTTTAATATTAATGGAAGTAGCAAAAAAAAGGTGACTTTTAACCAATCCGGTAGGCAGCCACTTATTTGCGCAGGTAATACAAACCTCTAAAAAGGCAACTTATCGCTGTAGCTAATGTTCTAATCCTAAACTTCTGTTTTTACACAAATAAGTAAAATCCATAACGCGCCCCGCATCTAAAGCACATGACCGGAAAAACAAACTACAGTATAACAATATCTATAAATACTTTTGCTACGTGTCAAACTCTCTCTCCAAGTTTTTCTCATTAGATTTTACTACTCAACCCAACCTGCCACAAATATAAACCATTCCCCTGATTCTGCTATATTTAACAGCCAGCTAAACAGCTGATAAACATTATCATCTAATTCCTATCTGGCTTGTTATAGTGAGTCTTAGCACAATTACTATCAAATTTTGCTATATCAGTGCTTATTAACTCCTCTTTTTATAACCATATTTAGTAAAATATCCGCCGAAAAATATAGAAATAACTCAAATAGAGATTGAATCAATCAAATCTCTATATGAAAAAATTAAAACTTTACAACTTGAATAAGATTTAAATTTAAATAAGGTAAATATGTTTTAATTTAAAATTATTAATTATTAATTAAAAAGTAAAAATTTTATAAATTTAAGTTAATTATTATCATATTCTCCAATTAATAAAATTATATCCTGGCTCCTAGACCAACTGGCATGACTGATCAGTTGAGCCTAAATTCACGGTCCGTGCTTAGAGAGCCCTAAGTACTAAATTTTAAGAATTAATCATTGATCAAGTTAATATATCGATATACTAAACTGAATTCTCTTATCACAAGTTTATTTAGAAATTCAATTATAACTTTTATCGCGTACAACGTAACTTTAGCAGATGTGTGACGCGTGATGCTTAAACAGGTAAAAGAAACAATCTTCAGATTATCACGTGCAAGATTCTTCAAGTTTGATCGTGAGCATTCTTAAGGCTAAATGTGCCCTACAAAAACATTTCTTATATACATTGAATGTCAGAATGGAATATTGTTAGGTTTATAATCGCTCTAAATATATTTAAGCTGAACCGAAAATTTTAAATTCCTCAAATCGTTAAGAATAACGCGCCTAGTATCGCCACCAAAATCAGTTACGTAATCGCTTTTTAAATTTCAAGAATAATAGAATCACGAGATCACAAAATTTTTGAAGAAATAATCGAAGTTTTTTTTTTTGTTTAAATTATTAATTATTGCTACAAGATATAAGTCAAATTACACTCAATTCAAACGTATAGAATGCATTTTCATCCAAATTCAAATTTTATTTACTAACGTATAAAGCTTCAAATTTGAATTTTTTATGCTATTGATAAAAGGTACTTTGTCATGTCCACTACAAGCTTTATGTCATCTGCTATTTTTTTGAATAGGTTTAAAGTTCGATTCAATACTTTCGAAGCCATTTTCTTTGTTTGGGAAAATTATTTGACTTTTCAAGACAATCAAGTGGCTAAAACATAAAATTAATGAATAACATGGAAATATAATGAAAAAATTTTTATACCTCATGAAGAGTAAATTTTCGGATTCGGATTCACTATCTTCAGTATTCGATTCTTCATTATCTATATTTTGGTTTCTGAACTTACCAGATCGACCATTAAATTGACTTGTGTGTAATTGATTAAG